TAAATTTTTGTCCTCACTGCTCAATGTGCGGGTTCCCAGCCATTTATTAAGAAAACAATGTGCTATAGATGAATCCAATGCAAGATTTATTTACGAGGAAAAATTCAAAAGTTTTGTATAAGATTACTCGCACAGCGAATCCGATTAAGGGTATAATCATTTTAAAATTATCAAATAAATACGCTACTTTTGAAAAAACTTTGCGTAAGTTAAAATGTCCCTGAATTAACTTAATTTAATAGACTGATCTGCTAGAACTAGTGCATGCATCAGTTGAACGCTTGTAAGTATGCAGTCTTGCAGATGATGGTCACCCTTACACTGTCATGATCATCGGTTGCTTATAACGACTACATTTACCGGAAGTTCATGGCGTGACGCTGATCTCCATGACAGTGCCATGATTTAGGAGTACCGTATATTAGACACACAGTCTAGGACTACGTGGCAAGCCTCTTAAACATGTAGGCAATGTCGAAGAGTACATGAGTTCATGATTTGATTTGCCGATTTTTATTTATTTGATTTTACACATATTAATGTGGTGCCCCCGTAAGTTATCGGCGAGAATCGATAGAATTTTGTAGTTATCGACTTGAAAATATTTTGAGCAATGGCCGAATCATTGTACGATTTAGTATTCGTTGATTAATTCTAACTTAAAAATCTGAAATAAATTGTATCGTATTTGTCTTATACGGTCTTCATGCGTAAGCAACTAAACGGCGTGGTTATAATAGTAGTAATTGTTTGAGAATGAGTATTTTTTGAATCCTGTAGCCTTTTACTTTATTTCGCATCTGATTCGTAATGAAGGCGAATCGTAATGTTTCTCTCCGGGGTTGTCTTTCGGTTCTTGTTCCTTACAGAAGACATCATGTCAAAAAGTATCACCAGTGGATGGAGAGCGAAGAGCTTCGACGACTGACAGCATCTGAAAGATTGACTCTCTACGAAGAGTTCGAAATGCAGAAACAGTGGCAGAAGGACGAAGACAAATGTACGTTCATAATACTGGCAAAGAGTTTGGTCGACTCCGGCGTTACCGAGACGGCATGCATGGTCGGAGACGTGAACCTGTTTCTGAACGCGATTTGTGACGATCCGGATTCCGATGATTCTCGGAGGACGGCGGAGCTCGAAATCATGATCGCTGAGAAGGCGTTCCGACACAAAGGCTTTGGTAAGGAAGCGGCGATACTGATGATGGTGTTCGCGGTCGAGGTGTTGCGGATCGGCAGGTTTTACGTCAAGATCAACCGCAACAATGTGGTCAGTATCCAGATGTTCGACAAGCTGGGCTTTACGTTCGTCAGTCGGGACGAGTACTTCAACGAAGTACTGATGAGGCTTGATCTGCGGTGTGAAGTGGCCAGATCTCTGGCTGTACGACACCACTATGAGTGCGTTGACGACTACCCGCCAGACCGGACGTCTCATCCGAGCGTTTGATTCCTCGGTGTCGTGTTCTTTTTGACCGCATTGCTTCTCTGTCTTGCAGTTTGGTTTGCTTCAGCATCTTCATGCTACGGATCGATGTACTTCGATGTACTTCCTTGCTTACTCGATAAACTTGCCCGAACTCGTCCTGTGTTTTATTGCCTGATATTGCGTTAGTTTCATTGATATCTTTAAGAGTTTTAGCTATTACAAGTATTTGCAGGCTCTTCCTATTATTCCTGTCATACTCCTTACCAAGCTGTTTCGAGTAATCTGCAATTCATGAATAGGTCTCAAATTAAGGGTGCACGTTTTGCATTCAGAGGAATAACAAGCAAAGATAGACGAATGAACATATAAGAAGATAAGCCGGTCTGCGAGTTCATCGCCAGAGTGAAGAGGTTGAAGTATCTGTGAATTGGACACTTTTCAAGAAAAATAA